GACCACTGAGCCGGCATTCAATGGTGATAGTTTCTAACATCAACCAATCCACGAAATTGCGCGACCAACTTCCATTGTACTAAGGTAGATACCTGTCTCTACCCGACAAGGATTAGCTCCACTGGTCACGGCTTCTCACTAGAACTCCGAGAATTCCCTCACGAAGCTAGTCACTAGTGAGCACATGTTAATTACTAGTATAGGGGTTGTGGAGATTATTAAGTTTTTGATTGAGATCATGAACCGATTAATGTTAGACCATCACAATTGAAAACCTGGAAGCACTGGACGGCCGTTTCGTCCTATTGTGGGACTCCTCAGCACTGCGCATCCAGTAAGACGAAACGGCCTTCTTGTGCTTCCAGGTTTTCAATTGCGATGGTCTAACATTAATAATCGGTTCATGATCTCAATTAAAATAAAATAAACTGTTTAACAAATAAATGTATTTGTGATACTATCATCGTATGTAAAACAGTTTATCTCTTTATCTAATGTTAATTATCTATCATTTCTTTACTATACAGCAAAATTTAGATCAGAGAACATTTTCAAACGTCTATTATTCGATCGTTTAAGTTGATCCGATGAATATTCACAGCATAAATTAAACATATATACTATTCGATTAATTCCTTCATCTAATCGATTTTATTCATGTAATCAGTGCCTATTAAAGTTCATTTCAGGTTAAAGAATTAGTTTAATGATTATATATATATATATATATATATATATATATATATATATATATATATATATATATATATATATATGGATTATGAAATCATTCACCTAATAAACTTATTTTTTGATATATTGGTGTTACTCAATGTCATACACATTTCTAGTATAACAGTGAATAAGTTATCGTCTTAAAAAAAGCTCACATAAGGAAGGATTTTTTGTTATACTTTTGTTGTTGTGCTTTATGTGTTAAACTGCTTAAACAAAAATAAAGCCAACAGTATTGAGTTTTGCAGAACTTTAAAGGAATTGAAGTTTATTTATTTAAACACATAAATATTGATACGAAAAGGCATCAAATAGATATGCACCACATAAATCATTCAATTGCTGGGATACTCCCCGGGTGCCCAAACCGAAGTAGATAGTTTACTTAAAGGCCATACCCTGAGCCTTTGACGTAGTGGTCTGATTCACAAGGCAGTGGAGTGACGTCAGCAGATGCAGTCTCATAGTATCCGGTCACGAACAATAGGTTCATACTTCATTTGTCCCCTCAGGATCCTGAAGTCAGCTTATGTGCACCATTGATTTGGAATCAGGACGTCTACCAACCCGGTTAAAGCGTCAGACATTCGTTTTTCATCCTCTCAATTTCATAAACAACAGTAATGCTGTGAGAAGGCAACGAGTAGGACCTCCTTGTCAGTGGTTGTATGCACGTGTCCATGTGAGAGTATTTGTAGAGGGGGAGCTGACTTTTCCTACTCTCGACCATATCAGGGCATTTGGATGTGGTGATCAATGTCATGTGTGTCAGGTCCTTCTTAGTACAGATCGAATCCTATCGATCTAGTTGCAATGTGACCACCAGTCTAGGAGACTCAACATTGCTAAGAATAATTAGTAGAACTCAGTGAAAACTAATACCTTCAGGATCGTAAGAATAAAATATTCTATAATAAGTCATTGTTATTATAGTTCTAATTAGTTTATGATATATGAAAACTAACAAGAGAATTACTTAAACAACTCGATATCGACGATGAGATAATGTAGTTACCCTTCACATATTGGATATGATCACAAACATACCTCATTTACGCCAACATGATTACTTAGTTTCAATATCCAGATGTTATGATTTCAATTATTTTACAAGATATTATTTTCAAATAAGCCTTACTCATCATGTGTTCTAACAATTTACTGCGATTCAAGCATTATATACAGGTTTGTCATTGAGTTATACTATATAAGAGGACGGATAATATTACTACCGGACAATTTGGATAGAAACAAAGGAAGTTGGTTTGAAGCACTCATGATAACTTGAAATTTCAATTTAATTACTTATTATGTAATTTTGCACAAAAGTCTAAGTACGAATCAAAAACTTAAACCGGAAGGAAATTTAATCAAATATTGTATCTATTGGGATATTAAAAAATTAGCATCACTTTACTACAAATCACTCACCCAATGGTCAATTTATTTGAAATTATCAATTCAAACATTGATAATGATACATATAAATTGATTGAACCAGAAGGTTACGAAATAACAGAGAATTTTGAGGAGAGTCAGTTGTCCCTCTACAAATACTCTCACATGGACACGTGCATACAACCACTGACAAGGAGGTCCTACTCATTGCCTTCTCACAGCATTACTGTTGTTTATGAAATTGAGAGGATGAAAAACGAATGTCTGACGCTTTAACTGGGTTGGTGGACGTCCTGATTCCAAATCAATGGTGCACATAAGCTGACTTCAGGATCCTGAGGGGACAAATGGCGTATGAACCTATTGTTGGTGACCGGATACTAAGAGACTGCATCTGCTGACGTCACTCCACTGCCTTGTGAATCAGACCTTTACGTCAAAGTTGTGACATTGAATATTATTAAATGTTCTGTACAGGATAATATTTATATCACATGTCTACATTTTTGACCCTAATTTGTTTAATCACGTCATATTGATAATCGTTATTGCTGGTTTAAATTGTTCATAATTCGGATTAGCCTAAAATTGAATAATTTTTGGCTTATTGATAGGTGTTCTTCTTCAATATCTGTCTATTGTGACTCGTTATTTTTTGCTAATCTACTGATGAATATAGAAGTATATCTCCTTGGATTTCTATCAAATATTGGACGAAATTACTATCAATTGAATTTTGAGAACTTCTCTGTAACATTTTTAATTGAGATCATGAATCGATTGAAAACCTGAAAACACTGAAAGGTTGTTTCGTTCTATTGTGGGACTACGCAGTGGACAGTGCTCATTTACGATCCCGCCTCGCGCGATTCGAACCTTCGATCTCACACGCGAATGCTTAAACTTGAGACCACTGAGTCGGCATCCAATAGTGTTGATGTCTAATCTCAGCCATAAAATTTCTTAAAACTTCCTAACTTCCAGTTATAAATGCAAGAAATCACAAGTTTTTATCGTTTTATAACTTTCATTTTACTGTATTCATGTGAAAATTGAACTGAAAGTATATAGCGGAGAAGATTAGAAAAAAATGTGTTTTGCTTCAATTTACTCTGAGTTAAATTAACTCTATGTACTGCTGTGCTGTTGTCACTGTTGTCACATCGTTTCAACTGATAATTTTAATCTATAGTATTGGTCTTTTTCTTCTTCTACAATTCCTTGGGTGTTCATTTATTTAAAGCCTTTCATGCGTGAATTCAGTGTGACAGGGTTAAAAAAAATACATGGTCAAACATACTTTAAAGGTGATAGTTCTTTCAGGTGTACACTAAATAATTGTTTTCATTATGACAGATTTAAGTTGTTCTGTTCATGAATTCAGTACGGATATTCATTTCTATAACATACTACTTATATGTCATATGTTGAGTTGTATTTTTTTTAACATGAATGTTTGATTATAAGTTATTTTGTCGAGCTGGTGGTCTTAGTCCTCTTATATTGTTATATTAATTATCTTTTCTCAGTTTATATATATATATATATATATTGTCTGTTGTATGGATTTAAATACGCCTACTTATAAGTAGGCGTGGGACTCTTCAGCAGTGCGCATCCGAGAGTCCTACAATAGAACGAAATGGCCGTCCAGTTCTTTCAGATTTTCAATGGTGGTCTAACATTAATCGGTTTATGATCTCAAACAATAATTTAATAATGTCCACAACCCTATACTGATAATAGTCATATAATTGTCAGAAAGAGATAAAACATAACAACATAATAGATATCCTACTAATCTGTTAGATTATGATAATAATTAGGCTTCTTTTTGTTGTTATATTACGTTTTTGAGTATGTGGCACTTTTATATGAGTTGTAGTTATTATTCTGTTAATGACTTATTCCGAGGAGGAATACGCTTTGTGGAACATTCTGTGGAAAGCATTTTCTTATTAATGATACTTTTTATACTACAGAAGTTTACTGTTTCCTTGAGCACTAGACTTAAATGATTAAGAGCGATATAACATGCACTAAATACGATATTGGATAATGAATATTTGTATGTATGAGGCTGCATTGGTCTTTTTAAGACTTTAAATAATGATGAGTACCAGTCACTGTAACATTTAAATATAGAATTTAATTAATTCCATTCATGTGACTTTAAACTAAATACTCTACGATGACCAATCCCTTGATTTAATGCTCATACTGCATCTTGACCAATAAAACCCAATGAGCACTAAGGTCTAAGTATCGTAACATTTATTACGAATAAGTGATAGTAATATACTGAGCAACAATGTCAGGATGTTTGAGATGCGTTTCTTCTCTTCTAAATGCAAACTGTTGCTTCAGAACTGGTCTGAGTCAACATCTAAACTAAGGATAAAGAGTAAAGTAGTGAGACGCGTCGACAATTTCACTTGTTTTGGAAGTCTGACCATTTGTAATGGGTTGGTATCTGACTACATCTCTGCATGGATTCGAAAAACTCGTTTGGCTTTTGCCAACTTACGTCACCTATGGCGAGGGAAAGATATCTGTTTATAGATTAAAGGACAGGTATATTGCGAAGCAGTTCGTTCTGTTTTAATTTACGGCTGCGAAGCTTGATCATTAAGGGTAGAGGATACACGTAAGTTATTAATATTTGATTACAGATTTTTTAGAAATATTGCCAGCATCTTCTAGGATCACCGGGTAAGTAATTTTAAGGTTAGATGCACGGTATTAGGGACCTCCATAACAAATTTATAAACATTTGGTCTTACGAAAGCATTTCGATTTGAAGAACACACTTCTTTCCATCCTCTCCTACAAAGTTTATTATTATTATTATTATTATTATTTCACAGCTATTAGAATTATTCGACAGTGAAGATCCTCGTGAACGTGATCTTGTCAAAACTATTTTACATCGTGTATATGGCAAATTTCTTGGATTACGTGCATTTATCCGTAAACAATTTGGTAACATATTTTATAAGTAAGATTAATTTATTACTTATCACTATTATCATTAAATATGATTAATAATGATGATATCATCAATAACAATAATGATAATAATATTTAAGTTGCTTTAATCCACTTGGTATTGGTTTACTTGAATCTTCCCATTGATGTTTAGGACTGCAATTGATCAGTCTGTTATTGGCATATATCCATACTGTGCGTATTGCCTTAAGTCAAACGCTTTTTAAGAAAAGATAGTTGGTGTCTAGCGGTGGAATCCAGTTTGACGCGCGCTTCGTCCTATTTGGATGGTGAACCTGCATCTGGGACTCGACCTGTTCGCTTCAAACGCCACTCAGCTATTTAGTCCGAGTCCCAGAGTGAACACCAACTCTGAGATGCAAGTACATCCAGATGCCGAGTCTCAAATAGGACGAAACTTGCGTCCTGGATTCCACTGCTAGCCACCATCCATCTTTGCTTAAAATGCTTTAATCTATAGAAGTTATTTCTCCATATACTTTGCATATATCGTATTTCGTTTGGTTCTGTTCCATACGTATAGTTTTATGTTTTCCTACTAAATCATTCTCATGCTTAAATAGAGTAATGCTTTCGGCGTGTAACAATGGGACATTTTGTTAGTTTATTTTTCAAAATAACGATACTGATCAGTGTCCTGTTTATTCATTTAGGTTTCTTACTTACTCCTCATGTAGACTATAGATTGCTGATCAAGCAAGCGTTAATATTTTTTTCCAGTTGTTCTTTGCAATGATTTCATCATCTTTGAGTAGATCTTGTAGGGTTCGGAAATATTTGCTGAGAGCAACCTTAATTTCTCTGGGTTTGTTAGCATCTTGAAAGAAGACAGTATTCAACTTTTGCAATGCTATGTTATCCCATCATATCTTCAAACCCGGTGTTGTCCATTTTGAGTTTGCCATTTAGGTCCTCTATAGAATGGTCAGGTCTTTTCCTATCCATTCCTCTTGGATCAGTTGCAAATTCTTACATAACTGATCATCATCTTCCCCGCCGGTATCGTTGATAGGTGCTTGGCACAGTGATGATAATTATGATTCCATCATTCTTTGTCTCAAAGGATGCTTTAATGATTCTTGTGCCATGATTTTCTTATCCCGATAGCATCTTTTGTTCTTATGCAGCTCCCCATGTGTAGGGGCATTTTCTGCTTCGTGACCGGAGCACAACAGAACCTCTCCCGAAATTAATCTTTTTTATCCAGTTTGTGTCCAATAAGTTCCACGTATTTGAAGCCCAGTCAGGTTGTATCTTCTCATCTCTACTGCTATTTGGATGACCCTGTCAGTCCCCTTCATTGCACGGAAATTCCACGTAACTACAAATTGTTGCTTTGATTGCCAGAGGAGGCATCTGCTCCGTGATTTCTGAAGAATCTCGGCTTTCACCATGAGGCGTCAAAACTCTTTCAAATGAGGACTCTTTACATCCTCAGTCACATTTTAAATTATGTGTAAATGATTTATTTGTTTAGTGGCTGTTATAACTTGTGACCTGAGTGCCCTGGTAATGGATAAGTATAGATACCGCCAATTAGGGAGCAGTGAATTATCGATCGGATCAATGAAGTGTAAAACCCGTACGAGCAGCCTAGAGTCCTGATTGGTCCTGCTTTACGCCTAGTCCAGCCAGTTGAGTCCAGAACGCAAATCTCAGCCTCTGCAATATAAATCCTTATATTTCAAACATACTCGGTTTATATACCAATGAGACAGACAACATCGTACCAATAAAATATGAAACAACATTTGTACAAGAATTAGCCAGATGTGGCTGTGAATGAGGGAGGTAGTAATTAATATACTGGGTATAACTCAAGAATGGTAAAACGTGTAATAATAGTTTATAGGTCAAAATAAAGCTTATAATAAGAGGAATATGAATATGCATAGTTTAGTTACTTAATAACTATATAGTAAAGATATACGTTTAGTATTGGTCCGTAAATGGATCCCAAAAAGTTACCATTCATTATTCTTGCCGGGACATATCAGTGGCTCCGAACCGATCACAGTGGCGTCGGTGTATGCACTCTTTGTCTTCTCTTACACTATGAAATTAAGATCGCTTCATATCTTTCTTTCTACGAACTGATTCTTTCTTCCTGTATTGTATCCTTATACACAATCTTTTATATATTACTACCATTGAATTAACTACTTCTATGAATCCGGTGTTCATGTTGCTGACTGACTGACAAATCCTACATCTAACCTTCCTCATTTTCGCACCCATAAAACCGGTAGTAACCCTAGAGTGCGCTAAGCGATGTTATCCAGTGTTTTAGTGATTAAAAACATATGACTTAGTTATTCTGTGACACGGACTCCAGTTTTGGCAACTTGGTTATTGTCACACTAAATCACACACAAATTTCGGTGTTCAGAATAAAGAACTATTTAGATAAGCTACATTAAACTAGTCATAAAAAATAATGCAACATCGCTTTATTCACTTAATAATATCCCAAATTTAATGGTCTATGTTTTGTGTGATCACTTACTACTTAGGCTGGTTTCTTATAGATTGTGAATGATGGATTCCCAAATAACACGAAGCTCACACTTTTTGTAAGCTAGTTTATGTAGATTTGAGTTTAGCGTTTTGCGCGTTAATGTTCTTCACTTAATTAGTTTTTCACTTTCCCCTCTTAAAAGGACATTGTCATTTAGTTGTTTTGGTAATGTTGTTACTGTATTTCTGAAGACATTGTTAATATATTGGTGTGCGTGATTTTCACGCTAAGTCATCTCCCTAAAATTCGGTGAAATAAATCTTCTAGTTGAAGTTTATATTCTGTCTCTAGAGGAGAGGGAAGCAAAAGTTAGGAAATGGTCTATTCATTTAAATTCGAGTCAGTAATTATCAACTTGGTGCTCAGATTTATCAACCTACCGTTTCTAACAACATTTCGATCATGCTGATAATATCAGATTTATTATATGTATGTGTGACACCGTGATAATAAGCACTGTTTTCAATTTGTTGTGTCATTAAGGCATAATTACATCTGATCTCATTTGTAGACTTTATATGTGGATGAGAATAGCCTCTTGATTCTTTAGCTTCCATTAACATTAAATAGCAAACCTCGTTGATATTCATGATGGAGTTTTTACCCATTTGAATCTTAACTCAATAATCAAAGACAATCTAACACTCTTCAATCTAATGTTAACCATATCCCCTAATGACTTCACTCAACCTCTTAAACTATGGAAAAAACAACGATAGAAGAGTACAAAGATATTTATACGCTTTCTAGGATTTCCTGGTTAGTTAACCTTTCAGAGTACAAGTATACTGTGACACCTTGTTCAATAGTACTAGTGAGATATAAGAATTCAAAGTGATAGTTATTAAGTAGTTCATTTTTTTGACTGATTCTAATCGAATTTTCAAAAAAGGAAAGATTTTTCCAACATTAATAAATAGCATTATTTGGATTTTAAATAAATCTTAACTTACTGCAGAGATTACCGGTTTTTATAATCACATAACATATAAATGGCTTTAGTGGTTACCGTAGAATGTTACATAACTTTAATGAGTTTTGATTATGATCATGAACCGATTGATGCTAGACCACCATTGAAAACCTGGGAGCACTGGACGGCCGTTCCGTCCTATTGTGGGACTCCTCATCAGTGCGCATCCACGATCCCGCTCGTGGGATTCGAACCCAGGGCCTTCAGTCTCGCACGCGAACGCCTAACTTACTGGACCACTGAGCGGGTATTCAATGGTGTTAATGTCTAACTTCAACCAATCCACGAAATTGTGCAACCATCTTCCATTGTACTGAGGTAGACACCTGTTTCTACCCGACACGGATTAGCTCCACTGTTGACGGCTTCTCACCAGAACTAACATCAATCGCTTCATGATCTCAATCAAAACTTAACATTCTCCACAACCCCTATACTTTAATGAGTGTTTGATTTGTTTTCCTTAATTAAAAATCTTGATCGTTTCAATTCGATATTATATCAATTGTTGATCCAGTAGTTTTGAACATACTTTCCATATTATTATTATTATTATTATTATTATTATTATTATTATTATTATTATTATTATTATTATTATCGTATTTGCATACATTTTGTTGGGTTTGTCAGGTTCATTTACGAAACAGAAATTCATAATGGAATTGCTGAACTCTTAGAAATTTTGGGCAGGTATGTTTTATCTTTATTTCTTATCCATGATATGTTGTTATCTAAGGTTTATAGACTATCGAATCACTAACGAGTAATCTGTATACTATAATGTAAACATCTGTATTTTTCTTGAAGGGGGGGGGAGAATTTATATTTGTTTACGAATGTATTTATTTCTAATAATATAGTATTGAAATACTTTTATTCGTGATCTTGATTTCTCCACATATCGAATTGATACTAACATTTAAAGTACTCATCCAAGATTTGGAAGAGCCTATCGTAGTATCTATTTTGTGGGTTAAAACTTTGGAAATAGTCGAGGGTTTCGTTCATTCGAGTATTTGTGTGATTTCATGTGGTGTGGTATCGTAATGTAAATATAATAATAATCAAAACAGCTTATGTCATTTTTGACCGTCATTGACACTACTGTAATTTGTCTGACAAGAAAAGATCGCGTACACAACAAATTGATGAATTTTAAGTTACTTTATGCACAATCATCGTTTTCCTCTGAAGCATTACTCATATCAAGTTCCAACATCATATTGAGAATACTGATGTCCTATTGTAACAAACAAAAATACAGGCGGAGACAATCGAATGTATTTTAATACAAAATTATAGCATGTCTTGGTAAAATATGAAAACCACACATCAAATACTTCATTTGCAAGTTTCTATCATTTATCTTTCACATTCTGTATGACTTTTCTGATTCGCAATTTATTTCTAATTCCGTTCGTGTTTTCTTGAAGTCAACCTTCATACCCTCTGCTACCAGGGTTTTTACTTCCGATTGGTGTTAGATGCTACTTATGTATGTCGACATAAGTAGCATACATCACACTATGATAATCAACTCTAACAGTACTCATAATTAAGGCTGGTGATTTTCAGATTCAGATTCTACTACTGAATAATCACAAATTTCACATCTTTAAGGTTAATGTGAATAAATAACTACTGAAATTTGATCAGTCCTATATATTCAAGAATCCATTTATCAGACACTTATTTCGAAGTTATTCACAAAATAATACAAGCTTTTTGAACAAAGATGGATAGTGGCTAGCAGTGGAATCCAGGACGTGTATTTCATCCTATTTGGGACTCGTTAGCTAGATGTACCTCCACCCAAGAGTTGATACTCACTCCAAGACTCAAACCCAGTACTGTTCGCTCCAAACGCCGTCATGTTATCCACTTAACTATTGAGTCCTGATAGCTTTAATACTGTTTTCTTCTTTTTCTTTTTCTTCTCCTTCATATTATATCATATTTCTATAGTCGATCAAAGTATCATAATTATTTCCATAGTTATAAAGTTTTCTCTTATCATAACAACTAATATTATTTACAAATTAATTTGTTATTAAGCTGATCATATCACATGATACTATTCTATGTCTAAATCGGTTAAAGAAATAGTTTTGATTATGATATTAAACGGTCTAATTTTCTTGTTATTTCTATATTGTATTATTCTTATTCATAATTGTAAGATTGAACATTTGTGTAAATTAAATTAAAACAAAACAAAAACTATATATCTACATATAAATATTGGTACAAAGAGGCACCCAATAGATATGCACCACACAAATTATTCAATTTGTGTAAGGGCTGGGATACTGCCCGAGTGCCCAGACCGAAGCAGATGGTTTTCTTAGAGGGCCACACCGGGAGCCTTCTACCTAAAGATCTAATCTCATGCTAGCCGGTAACCAACAATAGGTTCATACGCTATTAGTTCCGTCAGGATACGGAATCAGGGTTTCTCAACTTCCCTAGATGAACTCACCGTGTCCACCGACCTGGTTAAAGTATCGGACATTCACTTTTCTATCTCTTAATTTCGTAAACAATACTAATTCCGCTAGACGGCAGTGAGTAGGACTTCCGTGGCATTGGTTGTATGCACGTGTCCATGTGAGAGCATTTGGAGGCTTAATTTTTAAACTTTATCAATATTGGATATAGTGCCAATGTTTCAGTATGAAGTAATTTTCAAGAAATATTTTGTCAACATCATAAATTTATATTCTTAGCCTAGTACTCTTATATTTAACTACAACAATACTCACTTGGTTGTTTCGTAATTTTCTCTTATCTACATTCTGTTCTTATGTTGTTGTTTTTTTTTGGTTTTTCTTTTTGGTATATAGTATCATTAATGGATTTGCATTACCATTAAAAGAAGAACATAAGATATTTTTAATGCGTGTATTACTTCCATTGCATAAAGTGAAATCAGTTAGTATATATCATGCACAATTAGCTTATTGTGTTATACAATTTTTAGAAAAAGATCCAACACTTACTCAACAGGTTAGTTAATTTATATTAATTTCAATTATGTATCACTTTGAATGATTTATGATCTAGCAAATGAGTATGATAATAGATATAGACAGAGAGGGATACACATTAATTAGAATTATTTTTAACATACAATATTGTACCCAATGGATAATTCTTTGTTTTGTTTTGTTTTGTTTTGAAACTGGATCATTAACTGGAACTAATCTATTGCCTGTTATTCTTATACATTCAAATAAGTTATCAACAATCGTAAAGAATGAATAACAATGTGCTTGATCCAAGATAATAAAAAATAGTGATAAAAGTTTGATATAAGGAAATAAGACATTTTAAAAGCAGCCAATTTTTGTAATTTATCACACTCTGTAATATTCATATAATTATCATTTCCCGGTTGCCCACACCGTGGAAGGGTTCTTTTGGAGGTACCTGGAAAGGAAATCGGATTAAAGGTGGTTTTAATGACCTGAGAGTGTGACCGCCGTACCCAAGGGACAACTGCATAAGGTCGGTCACATACGACCTTTTTGTGAGGAATTTTCATGTTAGCTCCGTATTTATTGAAACCTTACCTCTGGAGACAGATATCCATGGGATAAGATGAGGTGTGTATCTTTAGGGTCGACTTTTACTAACTCCACCCTTTTTTTGGGAAGGCATCATCGCTGTTATGCTGGTTGTCTTAAGGAAACACCTTACTGCCGTCACACGTCTGTGCAGTCAGCAGTACAACGACATCCTCAGACCTTGGGTTTGCTGCTTTTAATCTTATCGCTCTTTAACCGACCTATCGGACATGGTAGGACCTTGAAGAACGATTGTTCTAGCCAGTATAGCTCGATTGCTTCATCACGACAAGCAAACCAACCACCACTTCAATTTAGCAGCAGCGGTTGGGAATATACATACACTATAATGAAATCGATTGGTTTATGTTAAGACATCTAATTATTTAACAGTAAGTGTTTTATTTCTTTGTAGATGTATATTATCGGTCTTTGTCGTTCAAATTTCTTTAGTCTTGAATAAAATAGAGATTTCGTCGTTTAGTTTTTCGGACATAAGAGTTTATAATTGACGTACATTATGGCCCTATACTATTTTATTATTTTCTTTCTATCGTGATGTCAATAATTGTTGCTGTGACGCTTTAAAGATCATTCACTTACTTACTTACTTACGCCTGTTACTCCTCGTGAAGGAGCATAGGCCGCTCACCAGCATTCTCCATCCAACCCTGTCCTGGGCAATCCTTTCTAGCTCCGTCCAGTTGTAATTCATCCTTTTCATATCTGCTTCTATTATCCGACTCAATGTGTTCTTTGGCCTTCCTCTTTTTCGCTTCCCTTCAGGATTCCACGTTAGGGCTTGCCTTGTGATGCAGTTTGACGATTTGCGTAATGTATGTCCTATCCATTTCCATCGTCTTTTCCTAATTTCCTCTTCAGCTGGAAGTTGGTTTGTTCTCTCCCACAGAAGGCTGTTGCTGATGGTATCCGGCCAATGGATGTTGAGTATCTTGCGAAGACAGCTATTTATAAATACTTGTACTTTCTTGATTGTGGTTGTTGTAGTTCTCCAAGTTTCAGCTCCATACAGTAGAACTGCCTTGACGTTCGTATTGAAGATTCTCACTTTGATATTGGTTGTTAGTTGTTTTGAGTTCCATATGTTCTTCAATTGTAGGAATGCGACCCTTGCTTTGCCGATCCTCGCCTTTACGTCTGCATCGGATCCTCCTTGTTCATCGATGATGCTTCCTAGGTATGTGAAGGACTCTACATCTTCCAGAGTTTCGCCATTAAGTGTGATTGGAATGCTGTTCTCTGCTTTGAATTTGAGGACCTTAGTTTTCCCTTTGTGTATGCTGAGGCCTACTGATGCACAGACTGCTGCTACACTGGCTGTCTTCATCTGCATCTGTTCGTGTGTACGTGATAGGAGGGCTAGGTCATCTGCGAAGTCCAAATCGTCTAATTGATTCTGAGCTGTCCATTGCATTCCGTGTTTTCCTTCAGATGTTGAGGTCTTCATAATCCAGTCGACCACCAGAAGAAAGAGGAAGGGAGAGAGTAAACAGCCTTGTCTGACTCCGGTCCTTACTTGGAATGCATCTGTCAGCTGTCCTCCATGCATTACTTTGCACTGTAGTCCGTCGTATGAGTTCCGGATAATATTGACAATCTTCTCAGGAACTCCGTAGTGTGGAAGAAGTTTCCATAACGTCCTCCTATCTACACTGTCGAATGCCTTTTCATAATCAATGAAGTTGATGTATAATGATGAGTTCCACTTAACTGATTGTTCAACGATGATCCGTAGTGTTGCAATTTGGTCTGTGCACGACCGATCCTTACGGAATCCAGCTTGTTGATCTCGAAGTTGGGCGTCTACTGCATCCTTCATCCGGTTCAGCAACACTCTGTTGAAGACTTTCCCTGGTATTGACAGTAGTGTAATGCCTCTGTAGTTTTCACATTTGCTCAGATCTCCTTTCTTTGGAATCTTGACGAGGTGTCCTTCTTTCCAGTCCATCGGCACTTGTTCCTCCTCTCAAATCTTTTTGAATAGAAGATAAAGCATGCTTGTGGTTGTTTCGATGTCTGATTTCAGTGCTTCAGCTGGTATGTTGTCGGGTCCTGCTGCTTTCCCGTTCTTGATTTGTCTGACGGCCATTCTAATTTCTTCCGTAGTTGGTGGATTGACATCTATAGGAAGATCTATGTGTGCTGCTTCGATGTCCACTGGATTCATTGGAGCCGGCCTATTCAGGAGTTCCTCGAAGTATTCTACCCATCTGTTACGCTGTTGTTGAATTTCGGTGATTGGCTTGCCTTCTTTGTCTTTGACTGGCCTCTCTGGTTTACTGTAATTCCCTGCTAGTTTCTTCGTTGTATCGTGAAGTTGTTTCATATTTCCTTCTCTAGCAGCTTTTTCTGCCGTCGTCGCTAGTTCTTCCACGTATTTCTTCTTGTCGGCTCTAATGCTCCTCTTCACTTGTTTGTTTGCTTCTATGTATTCAGCTTGTGCTTGGACTTTCTCTGCTCGTGTTCGGCTGTTCTTCCTTTCTTTGTCCAGTGTTTCTGTAGAGATCCATTCCTTATGAAGATCATTCACACGCATCATATATTTCACAAAGTTATCATGAATAAAAATATGTCTAAATAAATAAAAAATAATATATTTGTAATATCCCAATGAGTAGAAAACTAGATTTTCTGACGTTTCGTGACTTAGTGTAAGTCACTTCTTCAGAGAATCAATAAATACTTCGTTTTTCGAATATAACGTTACATCTGCTGCATGTCTCGCCTACCTATTTATTATTTATTTATTTAAACACATAAACATTGGTACAAGGAAGCATCAAATAGATATGCGCCACACAAATCGTTCGATTTGTAAAGGGTTGAGCGCCCAAACTGGAGCAAGTGGTTTTCTTACGGGTCACTCACCGAGCCTTTGACTCAGAGGTCTAATCCACAAGGCAGTGGAGCAACGTTAGGAGATGCAGTCCCATAGTAGCCGGTCACCAACAACAAGTTCACCCATTTGTTCCTTCAGGATTCTGGAGATAGCCCATGTGCACCATTAATCTGGAATCAAGGTTTCCAGCTCCCCTAGGTAGACCCTTCTTGTGCACCAACTGGTTTAAAGTGTCAGATGTTCGTTTCCCGTTCTCTCAATTTCGTAAACAATAATAATCCCGCGAGAAGGCAGTGAACAGGAGTTCTCTGACAGTGGTTGTATGCACGTAGCCACTTGTATATTTACTATTTCATCCTCTATAAATTTATATTTCTTTCCTTTAAAATTAATATTTAGGTTGTTCTTAGTTTATTAAAATTTTGGCCAAAAACTCATAGTCCTAAAGAAGTGATGTTTTTAAATGAATTAGAAGAAATTCTTGATGTTGTTGATCCATCAGAATTTCGAAAAATTATTCGACCACTTTTTACGCAATTAGCTAAATGTGTATCATCTCCTCATTTTCAAGTGAGTTAAAAATTATTGTTATTATTATTATTATTATTATTATTATTATTATTATTATTATTATTATTATTATTATTATTATTATTATTATTATTATTATTATTATTACTAGTTGTATAATATACCCTTATAGGCCAGGGTAGTTTTACATTGGTTTTCAGGAGAACCGGAGATCATCCAAGCTTTCACGTGACAACTTATATAGTACGACTCAATCCTGCCTCACAGGAGAACCAGATACCGCATAGGCTTTAACGCTACAATCTGAATAGTATAGCTCAATCCTGTGGCGCAACCACAAAGGTACCAAGCACCCTGATAGACCATCTACTACTACTATTATAGTTTCTGTGTTTATGAAATGTGAATTAGATTGTTCAATAGTTGCTATATGTAGTTAATTGATCATTTTTCAATACTCCTTTAAAACAAAAGCTTTTCTTGTTCAGTTGGTTATCAATAATATTATTGGAATCAATGAGAATACTAATGGAGGCAATCGAATGTATTTAAATATCAATTTACATAATCTCTTGGTAAAATATAACAACCATACATTGATTACTTTATTTGCGAAATTCCATCATATATCTTTCAAATTCTGTATCGGTCAGTCAGTCAGTAACAACATAGAACTTCGTACGTACGTACGTACGTACGTACATCATTTCGAGTTGACATACCACATTAGCACAAAGTTTCAGTTGTCGATTCAAATCCCATAATGGTGGTAGAGGTAGTAAAATTATAAGTAGTAATCGGAAAGATTATGGTTTGTAGATGTTATTCAAGGGGTATAATTCAGTGAAATAAATTTGGAAAGAGGAAAAAAGAAGGGACATGAAGAATTCAGAAGATTATAATTTGGGAGAACATAAAGAGTGGATGCACCTGCACCATTGCAAATTCTGTATGATTCTTTTGATTCATTAACTATTTCTGTTCCTGTTTTTCTTCAAGTCAACCTTCATAGCCTTTTGCTGCCGTGCATTCCTCTTCTGATTGATGTTACATACTACTTATATCTGTCGACAGACATAAGTAGCATACAACACATATTCGGTTAACGATTGTTACGTTTATATATACAAGCATAAGGTATTCGTCAATTTATTAATTCTGAGTTAGATAAGATTGATCATATTTATAACTTATGCCATCAAATCAAGATGTGACATTAGTCTATTATGTTAGTTACTGTTTATTTGAGCCTTGATTTCAATCAGTATAAATTGTCTAGTTGCTCTCTCACTAAAGTTGTATTCAGTATGTAGGATCCATAGTGATATATCTCAAAGACAACCAGAAATAGCACAGATACTTTCATTATTTTATCTTCTTTACAGATTCCGAATTCAAATATTATTGTTTGCTATTCACTTCAGTATTTCATTCTGATATATTCACTATTCCTCGTGTTTATTTCATCTGAACATACTAATGTAGTACACTTATTTGGGTCCGTGTGTCTGTATGGTTCATAACTGAATATTATTCTTTTTAAAACCCTATAGTTAGTTACAACGAGTGAGACTATAATTTGTGGACAACCTTTAAGCGACGCGAGACTAACCTTGAGAATGTCCATCTAATGACTAAGACCAAATGAGGGTTATAAACCAGTGTGAGGAATTAGAATTATGATTTACAGTTGACGATTAGGGTTAGGAATTACATTTAGGGTTTTCATCACGAACTGACATCAGCTATAATGCCATGAATCTATTTAGTCAAATGGATGAGTGAATTTCGCGCCAATATCCGGGACCTGTTATCTTACACCTGGTTGGTTCGTCCATAAATTATAGTCTCGCTGTTTATAATTAACATACGATAATTTAAGAGTGGTAGAACAGATATAACATTGGTTAATCTGTGAAATGATAGCTTATAATAACAGCATTATAACATATTGTCAGAAGGGGTTTTGTGGATATCATAGTATTTTTAGTAGTTGAATTCATGAGTCAATTAAAGCTAGATCACCATGGAAAACCTAAAAGCACTGGATGGCCGTTTCGTCCTACTGCGGGCCTCCTCAGCACTGCGCGTCCGGACTTATCCGTCTCGCACTGAGCCGGCATCCAACGACATTAAACGACATATTCATTTATCAATCATAAACAATGTGTATAAACCGGACGGAGTTATCTGTTAGTATATTTGTTTCCGTTACACATCTGAACATTAAGATGATGAGGAAAGAAGTTGTTGTGATGTTCAATTTCCAAATATAATGAATAATGGATGGAAATCAATATTGATTTATAGTGAATATTTATGATCAACTTTCATTACATTACATTTATGAATGTCCAATTGATTTTTTTTAACTATGTTCTGTATTTAATGACAATTACTCAGTAATCCGATGCATGATGGATTAATAACTTAAATATACTTTTAATTCTATTATAAAAGTTGGATATATTACTCAAGTTAGTTGATCAGAAAAGCGGAGGATTGAAGTGATCTCATTGACTTAACTGATATCGAAATTGTCAAATATTGAATCAGTACGGGAATAAAATCAAGTTTTAGCAAGGATAATAGGATTGTGTGGCAGAAAATTTAGTGTGGGTTACTTATATCTATATAAGTAGTATATAACAGTGGTCAGGCATAGAATGTATTTCAGTAGAAGGTCGATGAGGAAAGAACAGAAACGGAACTGATGAACAATGAAATCTGAGACATAGGATTGATGTTTGCAACAAGAATAGTCAAGTTTGAGATGATGGATTGATTATTTACAAATTAACGGTTTACTATATGGTTCTCAAATTTTAGTGAGATGCTCTGTCATTTTGTACTCTAATACATTCGTTTGTCCTATTCGTGTTCATGTTCACCACAAAAAGAAAAACGATAATAGTCTATAAAAGGAATATTAAAGATCAATTTCTATAGCAATTTAGAGTATTTCACATGAACGTATAAAACACTGTATGCATCTAATCCATTATGATCAGTTTAAAGTCATATCATCCAAAGTTCCTAATGATTGATCAAGATAATCACACAAACCTGAATCAAGTAGTCTTAACCTACTAACATACCTGATTCCATATATTCAAAGGATTTTTCTTTGAGATTTTTTAATTGTCCGTGTAAAATGATAAAAGTTTGTCACTATGAGAAAAAGCGAAACCGTCTATTTCAATATCATTTTGATCTTAACAACTGTATTCAATTTTCAGTATAAAGTTTTTAGCTTCTTTCTGTTAAAAATATTGGTATTTTCAGTATATTTAATTATTACCGACTAGGAAATTGTAATTGTTATTCGCCTTCACGTCGTCATCTTTTGAATATTTCTGTTCACTTGGTTCATGTTTACATTGACTTACTGCAGAAGTTCTGATATTGATGACCTACCTCATTGGTGTTTTTTTCTATCGTTTGTCCTTAGATTTCATTGTTCAACTGAAAATATGTTTTTAAGCATAAACCGATTAGTTCTAGTAGGTTTTGACTTCTGCGCCTCCTCTACTTTGAGATGAGGAACAGGGATTGAGTGTCGTATACTAAGCTTTGTTCGATTCAGATTATTTTGAAATCCTGGTTAGTTTTTTTGAAGGGAGGTGTTTCTTCTTTGTCCTCTGTGTCATCAGCTTGATGTTTCGATTACCGTTGTCAAGACTGTCATCATCATAATGTGAGGTCTGGAAGATACCTACGTCTCCGATGATATTTAATTCACAATGGAAAAAGCGTTGAACAAAAAACTATCATTCTTAGATGTATTGAACACCAGAACTGACACAAGAAAGCAGAAGATTCAAATATATTGGAAGCCAACCTATATATCTAATTGTCAACTACAGTAGGTAACAACCCAATAACACACAAAATCAACTGTGTACAAACTTTTTTCAAGAGGGCTACAACACACTGTAAAGCACTTCCAGAACGGAAAAACAAATAACAATATCTAGCGTATATATACGCAGCTTCATGAAAAAATTTATCACCTCAACTCTTTACCAGAAATTTATTTATTTATTTGAACACATAAATATTGGTACAAAAGGGCAGCGAATTTTATGCACCACACAAATCTCAGTTGATTTGTGTGAGGGCTGTGATACTGCCAGGGTGCCTAAACCAAAGCAGGTGGTTTACTTAGTGGGCCACACCCTGAGCCTCCGACCTAAAGGTCTGATTCACAAGGCAGTGGAGCATCGTAAGGAGATGTAGCCCAATGGTATCCGATCACCGACGAGTGGTTCATACGCCGTTTGTTCCCTCAGGATCCTGAAGTCAGCCCATGTGCACCATTGGTTTTGAATCAGGGTTTTCCAACTCCCCTATGTGGACTCACCGTGTCTACCAACCCGGGTAAAGCGCCGGACATTCGCTTTTGGTCCTCTCAATTTCGTAAACAACACCACTGGTGTGTGAAGGCATTGAGTAATACTTCCCTGGCAGAGGCTATATACGCGTGGTCATGTGAAAGCACTAAGTGAGGGAGAGTGGACTCTCCCCACTCTCGATCTTACCTGGGCATTTGAGGGCGAAATTGATAGGTATCTTTTTCTTTATCAAGATTTATCAAATTCTGAATATTTTTTCATATATATGTAAACCAATTAAAATAACGTAGATAGTTAAGTGTACTATCTAGCTAACTAGATGTCATTTCGATTTGGTTTCTCTTTAAAACATACCGGATAAAATTACTCTCGATGAAGACTTCTATGAGATATTATGTAATATTTATGTGTATATATGTCAAGTTACCCATTGGTTGTGTTTCAGTGTGTCTGTGTGGAGTGTGTTCATTTTTCCAGTGACTTCTTCTATCTCTAATTCAAAGTACAGTGTTATATTTCGATGTATGTGGTTTTTTTTCCTTTCCATATAATCCTTTCAACTACATCACTATGATAATGAAATGTACTATTAGCCACTGAATAGATATTAGGTGGGGATGGAGGTTAAATAACTTATACTTTTGAAAAAAAGTACTTGTCTTTCTAAAGAATTAGTTTATTTCTTTGAAGTGCTCGTGTTATAGAAGAATAATAAAATGTTAAGTCATTTATTCAGCTTACGACTTTTAACTTCAATTGAAGTCTTTTCATTTGTACAACTGTAAGGATCACTAACTTTTACATGGATAATAAGACCTAAAGGTCTAATCTGCAAAGCAGTGAAGCATCGTAAGGAGATGCAGTCCCATGGTAGCCAGTGACCAATAATTGGTTCATACACCATTTGTCCCCTCAGGATCCTGAAGTCAGCCCATGTGCACCATTGGTTTTGAATCAGGGTTTTCCAACTTCCCTAGATGTATCCTCCATATCCACCAACCCGATTCGAGCGCCTGACATTACCATTTTGTCCTCTCAATTTCGTAAACAACACTCCTGGTGCGTGAAGGCATTGAGTAAGACTTCCTTGGCAGAGGCCATGTAAGAGCATTTGGAGAGGGAGAGTTAACTCTCGACCGTACTGCCAAATATTCTAATTCTGATTGTGGTTATATACTACTCATGTCAATATAAGTATCGCACACATACACACCATACTATAACTATGTTTTATCACTATGAAAAGAAAGTTCAGGGAATCTGACACGATTCACTGATGTTTGCAAAATAACACAATTGATATTTTGTAAATGAGACATTTACTGTATGGTTCTTAGATTTTACTAAGATGTTCTGTATTTTTGTGCGTTCAAATACTTTCGATTGTCCCCTGCTTGTGTTCTCGTTGATTACACTACTACTTCGGTGTGCATCGCGAAATTAGTCAGTGTAAGACGTTGAGATAATGAGTTGGGTTGAGTTTGTTTCATCCTGTCTGTTTGACAGTTGTCGACTCAATGTGTTTACATCGCACTTTCTGAATAAAGTTCGCACTGGATTAAGCAATCGGCATACATGATAGTAGTTCGATATAGTGAGGTGATGTTGTCTGTGAGTGGGACTAAGAAAGGGATTGTGAACGGTCGGTGTTGTGAATTATCTGTAAAATATCATTTCTGCATTTTAGTCTCTTCAAAACGTGAAGCTATTTTCGCAATAAGTAATCCTTATATAATTCTCAGTTTTCTGTACAAACCTCCACATTGTTTCCTTTCATAATCATTCTCAGGGGTGATTTTCTGTCTTGACAATTCCTGCGGGAAGGGTTGGATTGTTAGTCGTTGCATTTTTGAGCCTGTAAGTCTAAATTCGTAAAAAGTGCATCATCACCAATCCACCTACTTCTGTGGGGCCATTTGATTCCAATCATTTTTGTTCAGAAAACTTTTCGTGATCGTCGAACAAAAGTAGCCAGTTAGCTACTATTAATTTTTCCAGATAATCTCAATTAACACCGTTAGTTGCCGGCTCTATGGACTAATGGTTAAGCACTCGCGCGCAAGACTGCGTTTGAAACTCGCGAGGCGGTATCTTAGATTTGCACTATTGAGGAGTCCCACAATAGGACGAAACGGCCGTCCAGTGCTTCCAGGTTTTCCATGATGACCTAGCTTAAATTGACTCATGAACTCAACCATTATAATCTCTATTTGTTCAGTAAAGGAAACAACTGCAATCAACTCTAAATTGTAATATGATAATCAATATTTCAATTTAACTACAAACTTCATACGTTGTCGGTACTTCCTAGTCGATGTGTTAGAACTGTAGTGAAGATGTTTCAATGATTGTTGATTTAATTCTGTGTATATTCTTCATCAAAAGATTTTATTCCATTCTTATGTTTCATTGGTTTATTGTTTCCTATATATATATATATATATATATATATTTCCTCTTCTCCTATTACATCATTGCCTATTTTGTTTCTTTTATAGGTTGCAGAACGTGCATTATACTTTTGGAGTAATGATTATATCCTTCAATTAATGCATGATCATGTTGAAGAAATTCTACCTATAATGTTTCCTGCTTTATATCGTACAAAAGAACATTGGAATAAGTAAGTGAATTACTCTATTCCCATTAGTAATAATTATTCTTATTTAAAGTAGTATTCACTATAAATTTGATATTACTTAAATTACAGTTATAGACCGGAAATTATTGTACAGCTGTGTACATCTACACTTTTTGTTTGTATGATAGCTGGATATTGTATATATAATAATCAGAGAAGTGTTTTTGTGGACATTATAATAATGTTTATTAATTGAATTAATGAGTCAATTAAATCTAGACCAACCTGGAGGAATTGGACATTCGTTTCGTCCCATCATGGGACTCCACATCAGTGCGCATCCACGATCCCGCCGAGCGGGACTCGAATCCAGGACCTGTCGGTCTCGCACGTAAACACTTAACCACTAGACCACTGAGTCGGCATCCAACGGTGTTTGTTAGTGTTTAACTTCAACCAATCCACGAAGTCGCGCCACCGTCCCCTACTACGACGAAATGGCTGTCCAGTGCTTCCATGATGGTCTAGCTCATGAATTCAACTATTATATATATATATATATATCATAACCATAGTTACTAGGAAGATTAAACAAAACAAAGACAGTCCGGATGTTTAGTCTAATATGTTTGATCGCCTCGATTCACTTATGGAAGCTGATTTACAGTCCTTGAGTGTAGCACAGTTAAAATCGTTGTCCTGTCTTATTGATGAAGAAATAAAAAGAAATGCAGCTTAACCATAGTTTCTAATCTAATCTTATTATTAGTTACATTTATCAAGCTTTAACAATACAAAGATTATGAGTATTAGATCAATCAAGATACATGCTTTTATCTTGAGATAAGATGGTGATTACAGGTAGTTTACAGGAAATCTTGGACCTAGGATCTCAATATAGTGCATGCAATGTCGAGTCACCGATATATAGACTGGTGGCCATATTGCAACTTGGTCGATAGGATTCGATGTGCACTAAGAAGGACCTGATATACATGACATTGATCATCACCCAGTGATCAATCAATTGTAAATACATCTCAGTCCTACAAAAGGTCATTCGTAGCCCAGATAGCTCAGTGGTAACGTTTATGACTGTGAAGCTGGGTAACACAGCATCGAATCCGTCAGGGAGCATCAGTTCCCTCAACATTACAGGTACATCTTGCTGACGAGTGTCAAGTAGCACGAAACCTACGTACAGGGTTTCCTGTTGATTACCTCCAACCACCATCTTATCTCAACATAGTATACGCAATGTGGAGTCACCTAGACTGGTCATAGGATTCGATATGTACTAAGAAGAGCCTGATATACATGCTATTGTCATCTATGATATATGTTGTTACTTTTTTTCTCCAGAACAATTCATGGTCTTGTATACAATGCTCTTAAATTATTCATGGAAATGAATCAAAAACTTTTTGATAATTGTACACAACGATATAAAGAAGAGAGACAAAAGTTAGTTATTTCTTCTTTTTTTATTGTACGATAAATAATGACTAAACATGGTTGACTCAATCAACAAACTATAAGACTCTGTATCTTGATATCATGAGTCTCTTAAACACTATTATACAAAGCTCCATCTGAGATAGTTGGAAAGTACTGTGACTCTAAACAAATAATGATCCACATATAATAACAACGGAACAACTGACATACAAACCTAATTCAGTTATCAACTACCATAGAATCGGATCGCACTCAAACTTAACGTTTCAAGAGTAAGGAGTGATTTATCGAGTTCCCACTCACTGTACTAACATGGAACGTCACGAATTTATCCCAAATCACACTATGAATAATTTACATATAGGTCATAACTTTAGCGTTTTCTTGTCAGATTCTTATGTGATATCAAAGAGAATAACTTTCTTAAATTCTACATGGGCGCGTGTGTTCGAACTGTGTACTATAAGCTGTGTTATATAATTGAAGTATTGAATTATCCACCTAGATTATTTATTATCATGATCATTATTATTAATGGTTTTATATCGGAGCACACCGACTCAAAGAAAAAAACAGTGATATGATGGTAGAGATCAATGCTAGACACCTGTTTGTTCAGGAGGCAGTTTTCACGCGCTCGTTTGCCGATAACCAGAATAGTGCACAACAAAGTACACTTTGATTATATATAATTGAGATTGTGCATCATAGAGTAAGAAATTACAGCATTGACGGAATGCCGCCATAAACTGGACGAGAACTTGAGAAAGCCGTAACATACAACAATAGTTTATGCACTAAATGAAAGATTACAAGTGGAGAAATACAAAGATACAATAACCCGAATTATTTAGTAGTTAGTTACGATAAAAATATATAATAATTTTAAAGTTACTTTCCCAATGTTCTTCACATTATAGGCGAATAATAAAAGACAATACGTTAAATAAACAAGGATCTACACAATCCTAATCGAAATGGCACTAGTAACCTATGGATATTTAAATCGCTAACAGAAATATACAAGATAATAAAGTTACCATTATATTCTCAGTAGTCATGTGTGTTTCATAGTGAATTACTCACTTATCAGCACGGGGTTGTGGAGATTATTATGTTTTTGATTGAGATCATAGACCGATTGATATTAGACCACCGTTGAAAACCTGGGAGCATTGGACGGCCGTTTCGTCCTAGTACGGGACTCCTCATCAAAACACATCCACGACCTCACCCTGGGTTCGAATCCCGCGAGCGGGCTCGTGGATGTGCACTGCTGATGAGTCCCGTACCAGGACGAAACGGCCATCCAGTGCTTCCAGGTTTTCAATGGTGGTCTAATATCCATCAATTCATGACCTCAATCAAATTACTCACTTATTCAATGTTTGAGCCTGTCTATATGTTATTTACTTATTTGCGTCAAATGTTACATACTTTTTTATTTTACTTTGATTCGAAACATTATGCTTCTTTCTATGGTTATAAACCTTCTCATAATTTACGCTTTGGACATTGTCCAGTAATGTTGTAATGCTTTAATGTTGTTAAACATTTTGTTTGTATTTCAGAAGTAGAGAAGAAGCTAAACGTCGGGAACGTGTATGGGCTACATTAAGTGAAACTGCCAAAGGCAATCCATTGTACGCTGTGGTTATGAAAGAAGCATCAGTTTCAAATAGAGAATTGCCAAATTCAGTTGCTCCTAATTCCATTTCATCACCATCTCCCATGGGTGACCATTGTGTAAATAATGGGACTCCATCTACAAGTAACACTGAAAATGATGACGGTCCTCTTGGTGCAGATGAAGACGTTAGCGGTTCATTGATGAATCTTCAACGTGAAGCGGAGGATGATGTATGTAGAATAGAATTTAATGCATTACATTAGATACTACAGAAGATTATAACGCTGACATTTAATCAGTTTTAAAATTATCTGCAAATCATATTTATTAAGTCTGGTGCACTAATCGGTTGAGCTACTAATTTCCAGACTCCTGTAATATTTGACACTTTAACTGTGGTTGATTTGAGGAAGTGAAACCACCTAAGCACCTCTAGGGCTACTGCCGTTCCCAAGCCCGGATAAAGAAGGAGGGTTGGGCATAGGGTTAGAAACCCCATCCCGTAGAAAACTAACTCTAAAAAAACGCTAACAAAAAAAATAATTCAAAGCATTTGAACTCTGTCCTGGAAGTTGGGAGGTCTTTATTTAGAAGAGTCATGACGCCTCATAGTGAAAGCCGAGTTCTTTCAGAAGTCACGAGGCTGATGCCTCTTCTGAAAACCAGAGCATCCATTAATTTAGGTACATGAAATGTTCGTACAATGTGTAAGACCGGGAGAGTCTTCTGAACTGCTGCAAAAATGATGAGATGCAACCTAGAGTTGCTTCGAATCATACACACACAACAAATGTTATCCATAGTTTATAAATGATCTTGAGATTCGTTTATATGCTTCTAGAAAATATACTTAAACTAAGAATGAGTTTCATATTTTGTTTCTTAGGTTGAGTAAAGAAATTATCATAAAGGCTCTGATTGTGTTAGTTATAACAAAAACAAAATCCAATACTACCAGAAGTATACGTTCGAGCTACAAATCCCTATCACTTCGAAATGTTTGAGGTTTCTATACAATTTTTACATTGATTTATGTGATGCCAATTAAAAAGTTAACGTAGATAATTTATCACAATGAGACTTTCCCACAGTTATAAATAAAAAAATTGATTCAACGACTTATTAGGTCAAATTGTAACTTGTTCACGAAGTACAGATTTCTTCATTCAGCTTTCAACCACGCTGCATGAGGTCTGGTGATAGAATCTGATTATAAAGGCGTAGTAGGTATACGGAATCCCGACGTAAAATTTCTTTCCGTAATCACTAAATGTTTTAATACTTAATTTATTTGTCAGTCAGCTACAGCGTAGGACCAGGCAGATATATGAATCGGTCCAAGTTGCCACACCTCATTAGCACAACAACATGAACACCGGATTCATAGATGTAGTTACTTCAATGGGGGTAATATATATAGAAGAAAAATTGCATATAAAAGTATAGTACAAGAAGAAAGAATTAGTTCGTAGAAAGAAAGATGTGAAGCGACTTTAATTTCATAGTGTAAGGGAAGACAAAGAGTGTAAACACCGACGCCATTGTGATCGATTCTGAACCATGTCACTCAGAGTCCCAACCATTGGTTACGATAGTCACGCGGACTCCAACCAAGTAGTCTGCATTTATCAATATGGCTCAGATTAGAAGTTAGTGACTTCAAGCACTGATGCCACATTTAGGTTTGGCCGCCCCTAACTTTCTTCCAACCATCTCCAATACCGGATAGCATTGCACGTCGTGGTAGTCGGTGTTCAGGCATACGTAACACGTGGCCCAACCATCTCAGTCGATGAAGATACACAACCTCACCTACTGATTTACCATTATTCTCTAATACCCTGCGTCTAACCCTTATTTAATTTACACCAAACAATTAATCTGATCAATTATATAAAAAAGTACGAGTAAACATAAATTTATGGCTTATCTAATTTATTTCTCAGACGGAACTTCGTGGTATAATCAATGAACGACGTCGTGATAAACTTCCTATGATTCAACGAAAATCAGAGCTTCCTCATAGTCAAACTACTATACGTGCTCTTGAACAACATCGTCGTCCAGATGAATATTTAAAAACTCAACCTGACAGCTAAGGTTTACAAGAATAACAATGATTTTTTTTCTAAAAAAAATTATTATTATTATTGGCTAAGTATCCCGGTCTCAGCAGTTTTTTTGGCACACACACACACACACTTGTGAATGTAAAAAAAACATATAGTATAGAGTATATGCTTCAGTTGTTTTCCCCCCTACAGATATAGCGATCTGTTGAGATGTCAGTTTCTCTGAAACTCTTCAGTGTTAACTTTACTTAGTTAAATCATCAGTTTATCTTGTATTTGTTTCGAAGATGTTCATTGTTATTGTTGTTATTGTTGTACAATGAATGTCTTTTTCATTGTTTTTGTTTTTTACTATGGCCTTTCAATCTTCTTCTTCTTGTTCGTGTTGTTCTAATCATTCGACACATTTGTATTATCTCTTACCCTTTTTCCACCTCTGTCTTTTTTGTCTAACACAATCATCAACAACAACAAAGAAAGAAGAAAAGTAAGATTTCACTTTAATTCAGTATTCCAGTTTATTGTTTTACACTTTTTTTGGTTGGTTTGTTTTATTTGTTTCATAATTAAAATCAATTCATTGTTTTGTTTAAGTAAGTACTATATTACTAAGTAGAAATGAGTAATATTTTTAGCTTCCAATAATCTTGAATAGAAATTCATGTTTGTTTTGTTTGTTCATTACCGTTTCCCCCCCCCACACACACACACACTTTATTATTTGATTTAACTTGAACTGATCAAGAGTTCACGTATACTTGTGCAAACATTGATAACCTAGTCATAAGTATCAAAGTATCTACATATACATGATTTATATTATTATTATTATTATGACTTTTAATAGGAATGTTGTTTCTCAGGTCTCTCACTCTCACTCTCTCATTTCTCTTTAACGTGTATCATTGATTGATTGATTGATTAAAGAGAATGGTAATTATTGTCTATTCTGAATCTATGTGATCTTGTCTAATTTTTTTGTTTTTTTGTGAATGAAGTTTCAATTTGTCTATTTATTATTCTTTAGTATTATTTGATCAATTTCTATCTTTAATTCACCATGTTTACCATTTTGTTATTAGATAATAAAAAAAAAGTGGTATAAATAAATAAATAACAATAGTCTATAAGAATAAATGTGATTGTTGATTATGTGTATTCTAACCTCTTCTTCTTCTTCTTCTTCTATAACATTTTGCTACAGACCAACATTCATTGCATATATTTGTGTAATCATTTGTATTCGAATAACTGATATACAAATATATATATTTATTTATTTATTTACTTACAGAGTTCTTGTGCCATGTTTACTTCAAGTTGTAAACAAATAGCTGAGGTTGTTTTTACTGTGTAATAACTGTTTAATGATGATGCACTAGGTTGAGTATATTTATTTGAAATATATGAATGTTGATACAAGGAGACACTCTAAATAGATATAAGTCACTTGATTTGTCCCGACCGTTGTTGCTACCTTGATGTGGTGGTCGGGCTTGCCTATCGTGATGAAGCAACCGAGCTATACTAGCTGGAACAACCGTTCCTTAAGGTCCTACCATGTCAGACTGGTCGGTTGAAGAGCGGTAAGACTAAAAACAACAAACCCAAGGTCTGAAGGCGAAGTCGTACTGCTGACTGTACAGAGGTGTGACAACAGTAAGGTATTTCCTTCAGACAAGGAGGGGTGGGGTTAGAGAAGGTCAAGCCTAAAAATGCACACCGCCTTGTCCCACGGATATCCGTCTCCGGCGGTAAGGTCTCAACAAGTACGGAGCTAACACAAAAATTACCTATAAAAGGTCGTGTATGACCGACCTCAAGCAATTGTCCCTTGGGCACTGCGGTCACGCTCCCAGGTCACTAAGACCACCTCTAATCCAATTTCCTTTTCAGGTACATCCAGAAGAAGAACCCTTCCACGGTGTGGGCAACCGGGAAGTGATAACAGCACTCAAGACCACTGTTTTCATAATCAACCACTTGATTTGTGTATGAGCTATGATATTGCTCGGATTCCTAAACCAAAGCAGGTGATTTTCATAAAGAGTCGATCACATCCGGAGTTTTCGACTTAAAAATCCAATCCACAAGGTAGTGGGACAACGTCAGGAGATACAGTCCCACATTAGCCGATGACTAAACGATTGGTTCATAATTCATTTGTTCCCTCAGGATCCTGGAGCCAATTCATGTGGATCATTGGTTTAGAATCAGGATTTTCTAACTCCCTTAGGTGGACTCTCCATGACCAACCAACTTGTTTGTGCGCTGAACGTTCCCTTTTGGTCCTCTCAGTTTCGTAAACAACACTCCTAGTTTGAGTGGGACTTCCGTGGCAGTGGTTGTATGCACGTAACCATGTAAGAGCATTTCGAGAGTGAGGGTGGATTCACCCCATCCTCAGTCATAACAGGGCATTCGGGAGCTGATTTTTCTTAGGAGTTTAAACAGCTATAAAACTAAGCTTTGTAAACGCTTAATTACTCGACATAGTCAGAGCTTGCAAAAAAAAGCATTAATCACGTTAATTTATTTCTCGTGGTAGTGGAATTGTAAATTACCTATTTAGAGGGTTTCAATATTTAACTATGAATCTTAAAGTTGAAATTGTTCATTTAATGTCGTTGAATAATGTTTATAGCCCATACATAATTGACTGTAACAGTGGGTGCTATTATTACTTTTAAGTATATTGTAATTTAAGCGTTTAGTAAGTGACTACTTATGATATTTGAATGTAATCATGGTTAATTTGTACATTATTGTAAACCTATTTTGATTTACAAAATTTATTATTTTCAAGGATTCTTCTGTGTTACATCAGTAAATGCTGATTTATTCATGACTACTAAATTACTCATTAGATAGTTCAATAATTTACTAGTTAGTGTACCAAATCCAACTCCAACCATTTGCACTTCTTATAATAACCACATCTACAATGATCTTCCTCTGTTAGCAAGTGTCTAGCAAGCAACTATCATACATTCACAGTAAAACAGTGGTTGAACTTGGCAATTCAATAAACTTTAAAATATTCGATTACAAATTCGAATCTCAACTGTTTTCAGTTTACTTACTTAATTACAGGGATATTGATACTGGGTCTTGTATGTTTACTGAATGAAGAAAGATATACCCACTCTGCAGTTAGAAATATGTAGATTATCGTCATATCTAAAAGATTTCTGTTGTATCCCGATAGGAATAATGAATGGTAATTTTTAGGATCCATTTATGAACCAATACTATACGTATATTTTTATCGTATAATTGTTATGTAACTAAACTGCTCATATTCATGCCCCTCTTATTATGAGCTTTATTTTGACCGATGAACTATTATTACACGATTTGCCATTCATGAATTATTCCGTCTGTTAATCGCTACCTCCCTCATTCACAGCCACATCTGGCTAATTCTTGTACAAATGTTGTTTCATATTTTATTGGTACGTTGTGATCGGTTTGTTTGGTATATAAACTCAGTAAGTTTAAAATATAAGGATTTATATTGCAGAGGCTGAGATTTGTGTTATGGACTAAACTGGCTGGGCTAGACAGGGAAACAGGGCCATCAGGACTCTAGGTTGTTCTCACGCGTCTTTGGTCCGATCGATAATTCACTGCGCTCTAATCTGCAGTCCACACGTTATAACAATTTCCTTATTTAAACACAAACATTATTACAAGGAGTCAGCAAGTATATATGCACTACACAAACCAATCAGTTTGTGTGAAGGCTAGTATACTGGCTAGGGGCCCAAACCGAAGCAGGTTATGTGAAAGATTGATCCACTAAATAATAGTCAATCATATATACTTTATGTGCATAAATTATAGTTTCTATGATCTGGTTCTTTAGTACTGGTCGAGAATTGTATATCTGGGTGCCACGTGATCCAAGTTGCCCAGTATAGTATCAACTATCATGCGCGTACACAAGATACCTATTTCTCCATCATTATTTCAGATCGATTACTCATAAAATACATAATCTTGCTGAAAATGAATATTTGAAATGGATAATTCAATGGATACTTTTTATTATACACTGTCATATTCGTCATTGTTCATTACTTGAGCATGATTTTGTATTTGCTTTATCAGCTAAGTTGAAGGCGCAACATTATTGTCTATCTAAATCACTTAAATCTATTGAGAATCTCAATGTAGATGGAAAGTAAATAGATTCATGTGACATATATTTTGAAATTTTCTCAACTTTAGATCTTGGTTTGCATGTGAATCACAATCAGGAAGCCTCATTTCAACAGTTAAGGTTTATGAACTGGCAAATATTGTAGAAGCCTTCCAGTATACGAAAGGTATAGATGGCTGTAAAAAAAATGCAATGCTCTGAAATATGTTAGCAAAGGCAAAATGTTTGTGCGAACTCCACTATTCAACAAAACTAGTATTCTTTCGTTGTTACCTAAGACAGATAAACAATTCTATATTCCCTTTCTTTTTCCAAATTTATTTCACTGGATTATACTCCTTGAATAACATCTTCAAACCCTAATTTTTCTTATTACAGCTTAGAATTTTACTACATCTAGCACTACGGGATTTGAATCAACCACTACATCTCTGTGCTAATGTGGTGTGGCAACTCGAACTGATGTACGTACGTACGAAGTTCTACGTTGTTACTGACTGATTGACTTAGTATTTTCATCAAACAGAATTGTCATTTGAAAACTGTAACTCTTTTATAAAGGATCTATCCCAGAAAAACTAACCAATATGTTATAGGTATCAATATCAAGGTTGGACTCGGTAGTTTCAAATAAATTGAGCATCGAGTAGAAAGTTAATAATGTATTTTTAAGATAATGCTATTTTAACTTGTGATAATTTAATTCGGTTGTTTAATTACTCTGAAGAAGTGACAAACATCAAGTCATGAAACGTCAATAATACAGTTTTTCTACTTATTGGGATATAACAAAAAATATATCTGCTAAAGGTTTTTGTGGATATTATAGTCATTTTTAATAATTGGATTCATGAGTCAATTGAAGCCAGATCACTATGGAAAACCTGGATGGCCGTTCCATCATAATATGGGCCTTATCAGCAGTGCGCATCAACGATCCCGCCTCACGAGATTCAAACCTAGGACCTTCGGACTCGCGCACAAACGTTTAACCACTAGACCACTGAGCCGGTATCCAACGGTGTTAATGTCTAACTTCAACTAATCCACGAAGTTGCGCCATCGTCTTCAGGGACTTACTATCTCATAACAGATTTGGATGAACTCCGCTTCTCATAGCTTCTCACTAGAACTCCAGGAAATATCTCTTGAAGATTTTCACTAGTAAGCATATGACGGTGGCGCAACTTCGTGGATAAGTTGAAGTTAGACATTAACACCGTTGAATGCCGGCATAGTGGTTAAGCGCTCGCGCACGAAACTGATAAAAATCATATCTATTATTGATCAGTGGATTATTTTAAGGAGCAATCAATTTTCAACCAATAATTTATTGATTAAAAGAGTAAACATTTGGTCAATAAATCGATCATCAGATCTGAAACTTCATTGGTTTCTTCAGATCCCTGTTTCTAAAACATGTTTAAGCACCGAATAATTGTAGAAGTTAATAATTTATACTGTAGTAGTAGTCGTTGTTGTTGTAGTGTAGTGTAGTGAAAGAGAACTAAGGTGAGGACAACCGAATTATATACTACTTATGTCAATATAAGTGGCACACAACACAGTAATAATATATTATGAAAGTAACAAATATCTGATATTTACTCCATTTTTCATAGGAAAGATTTATTTACAGATAGATTATTTCATTTTCGAATTTATTCGTTCAGAAGAACCGTCAGCTTAGTGACTTCCGAAGGAACTCAGCTTTCATCATGAGACGTCATAACTCTTCTAAATGAAAACCATCCAACTGGTTATGATTTTTGCCCCTATCAATTATTAGGTGATAAAATTGGCAATCAGCATACCGACTTATATGACCTTGTTCCTGTACTAAGCCATTGAATTAAGCATGCTAAGATGCGATGATACATTATTAATACTTGAAGATGTTCAACTCAATAGTGTAAAAATAACATGTAATACGCCAACAGCGGACCGCGACTGTTCATCCCGAAACCACTGTTACAAAAGGTACCCGAAATTATGCACAATATATCGCATACGAGAATAAACGCCACCGTGAAGCTGATCAGAGAACGCTTCATATGGACAAGCGTGAGTTGGGACACGAGCATGCATGAATTTTCAAAAAGTCAGAGTACATCTTCATACTAGTTCTGAAGTTGGTTTTTCTCTCCCCTAGACACTAGATTCAAACATACACATATCGATATCGCGGGATCACTGCCGATTTCGAATGGCTACAGATATAATCTTACATGCATCGATAGATTCACGCAATTGCCTGTAGCAGTACACCTCAGACGAGTCTTTAGCCAGCGATTATCACAACTGATAAAAGAGCTCAATTCGAAAGTTTCTTCCTCCAATAACTTACAGAATTCCTCCGAATTGAACTTATTCGCACGAGATCTTACCATCCGATGGCAAAGGGAATGGCTGAACGTCTAAATAGGCAATTGAAAGCGTTTCTTATTACTGTCATTGTCAACAACGATTGAGCCAATAAACTTTCCCTAGTCATGTTGGGTTTAAGAACAATTAAACGGGATATTGGATGTTGTCCAGCAGAGCTGGTATATGGAGGTACTCTACGTTTACCTGAAGAATTTTTTGCTTCAGGTAAGTGTTCCTACTGATGTAGACAACAACGTACAGCGCCTAAAGTAGCACATGAACGGTTTAACGACACTTCCCAGATAATGTAAAACCACCTTTGCAGCCAAATTATGACGGTCCTCTTAAAGTGATTAAGAGTACAGATAAAACAGTTACTGTAGAAAAAGCTAGAAAGACAGATTCAATTGACATCGATCGAGTTAAACCAGCTTTCATCAAAAATGATCATCATCATCCTTCAAAGACAGTTGCATCACCGAAACATGAGTTTCAAACATCAACGACGCAAATGAAGAGATTACAATAACGACGAAATACGGCCAAAGAGTCAAATGGCCGCATCTGTATATAGCCACAGTTTTCAATTAACAATTTCTCACTATTTTGAATTATAAATTATTCTTCTTCCTCTTCATTATGTACGCACGCATTATTAAGCTTATGTTATGTATTATAAAACTCGACATACTATGTGTATACCTTTAAGCCTGTATGTAATCTTTGAAAAACGATACCATATCATTCCCTATCCTTTATCATTATCTTATTTGGATTCATGGACGTGCGCAAACTCAGATATACATCACTAATGTTAGTATACACACTAGCTTTATCTCAATTCTGTGTAAACCGATATCTTCTAACAATTGTAATTATTCTATTCAGTTTATTATTTATTTGGCAAACACAACGACTTTTTGTATATATCTTTGTTTACTGGGTTAGTTAATACATAGCAAAACACCTATGGTTTATTTGGATTAGGGTTGATTTCTGTCAAGTCCATTTATTAGCTTATTTAACAGACAACATTAGTCGGACCGTAGCTATTCGTCTATTTCTTTGTATTTTTATGATCACCATCATATCTGCATAAACGTGTACACTTGATCACATTTGACAGTCTACTTACATATCACTTGATAAATCATTCTCTTTCTCATGTATATATATATATATACATGCTCGAATCCTATTAATAACATTTGCTGGGCATTGATTCTATTTCGCTATAAGTTCACCTTTGTATTTGTTCGCCCACACCATATTAGCCTCTCTGCTCCGAATTCGCTCGATATACTTGTAACTTTGTTATCGTGTTATCCGCCAATAAAATGTAGTCACCGCTTCTTCTTGCCTTTCGAACACCGTTGAGATTTATAAAATAATGGTTAACAACGTGATTGATTGATTGATTAACAAAACTAAGCCACTATGATAGAATTCAACAATCAGGAGATATTACTTACATTAGTAACAAAAAAATACTAACCATTTAAAGGCCCAATTAAATAGAATCGGGTTTGAACTTGTAACTTAGTAACTAATAGAGAATACCTAGCCCTCCTATCTCATACACACGAACAAATGCAGATAAAGATAGCCAGTGAAGCAGCAGTCTCTGTATCAGTAGGCCTCAACATACAAAACGGGAAAACCAAGGTCCTCAAATTCAAAATGGACAACAGCAGTCCAATCACTCTTAATGGAGAAACAGTGGAAGATGTAGAATCCTCCTCCTCGATGAACAAGGAGGTTCAGATGCAGACGTAAAGGCGAGGATTGGCAAAGCAAGGGCCGCATTCCTACAATTGAAGAACATATGGAACTCAAAACAACTGTCAACCAATATCAAAGTGAGAATCTTCAATACGAACGACAAGGCAGTTCTACTGTACGGAGCTGAAACTTGGAGAACTACAACAACCACTATCAAGAAGGTACAAATATTTATAAAAGATTGTCCACGCAAGATACTCAACATCCATTGGTCGGATATCATCACCAACATCCTTCTCTGGGAGAGAATAAACCAGCTTCCAGCTGAAGAGGAAATTCGGAAAAGACGATGGAAATGGATAGGAAATACATTATGCAAATTATCAAACTGCTTCACGAGACAAACCCTCACTTGGAATCCTGAAGGGAAGCGGAAAAGAGGAAGGCCAAATAACACATTACGTCGGGAAATAGAATCAGATATGAAAAAGATGAATAACAACTGGAAGGAGCTGAAAAGGATTGCCCAGGACAAGGTTGGTTGGGGAATGCTGGTAAGCGGCCTATGTTCCTTCGTGAGGAGTAACAGGCGTAAGTAAGTAATAGACAAATAACAACGAAACTTGAACATCATTTACATATAAAGTTTTAATATTAAATATTTACAAAAATTTCTTAATTAAAATAATTTTTAAAGACCTTCCTGTGTTAAATTATCTAAAAGATTTTGTAATTTTCTTTTTAATACAGTTAAACCAGAGAATATAATTGCTCTTGGTTGTAATGATCCACAAGTTTCAATATTGAAATAGAAACGATTTGGCTAAACAAAAAAAACAGTTGATTTTCAAAGAAGAAGAAGAAGAAGAAGAGAAAAAAAGATGGGGATTTACTTTAGTGGTAGTATACGTGGAAAAAACATGATTCACTATATTTGTAATAAAACTGAAACTAAACTCATTTATTTAAACAAATAAAACATTGGTACAATGAGGCATCAAATAGATATGCATTATACAAATCATTTGAGTGTTGGGATACTTCTCGGGTGCCCAAACCAAAGCAGGTGGTTTACTTAGAGGCCAAACCCTGAGCCTTTGACCTAAAGGTCTAATCCACAAGGTAGTGGAGCGACGTAAGCAGATGCAGTCCCATGGTAGTCGGTGACTAACAATAGGTTCATATGCCATTTGTTCTCTCAGGACCCTGGAGTCAGCTCATGTGCATCATTGGTTTTGAATCAGGGTTTTCCAACTCTTCTAGGTGAATCCACCGAACCGGTTAAAGAGCCGGACATTCGCTTTTGGTCCTCTCAATTTCGTAAAAAAACACCGCTGCTGCGAGAAGGCAGTGAGTAGAACTTCCCTGGCGGAGACTATATACGCGTGGCCATGTGAGAGGATTTCGAGAGGGAGAGCGGACTCTCCCCACTCTCGGCCGTACCAGGGCATTTGGGGGCCAATAAAGTGCAATTAAACTACAAAAATTTCGAACGACATTACGATAAGTAACTGTATGGTGATGAACTATTATTATCTTCAGTAAATTGAACTACAAACACAGATAATCCTTTCTTGTCTTACTGACAGTCTTAAAAAAATCCTATTCAAAATGCTTAAAGAATTAAATACTATCGAGATAAATGAGCAATTATTGAATATGGATGTATTTATAATATCCTTGAAATTACAGCAACGATTGTCTCACTGAAATTCTAACAAGCCAAATGGGAGACATATATCTTTCAGTCAGTCAGTCACAACATAGGACCAGGCACATACGTGCATCGCTCCAAGTTGCCACACCTCATTAGCACAACAACATGAACACCGGATTCATAGATGTAGTTACTTCAATGGGGGTAATATATATAGAAGAAAAATTGCATATAAAAGTATAGTACAAGAAGAAAGAATTAGTTCGTAGAAAGAAAGATGTGAAGCGACTTTAATTCCATAGTGTAAGGGAAGACAAAGAGTGTATACACCGACGCCACTGTGATCGATTCTGAGCCATATCACTCAGAGTCCCAACCATTGGTTACGATAGTCACGTGGACTCCAACCAAGTAGTCTGCATCTATCAATATGGCTCAGATTAGAAGTTAGTGACTTCAAGCACTGATGCCACGTTTAGGTTTGGCCGCCCCTAACTTTCTTCTAACTGTTTCCAACACTAGTCAACATTGCGCATCGTGGTAGTCGGTGTTCAGGTGTCTTTAGCCGCATTTATGATGACGAATGCCGTGAACGTAGAAATTTGGGCGCCCAAAACGATTATTGATATGCTATTAAGCACAATAATGACATAAAAAGTGATGGAAACAATTTCTAGAGATTTAAACTAATCAAAAACACATTTCTTTGTTAATTTTTAATATATTATAACAATACAGCTGGAGTGGTTATGAATACGTGATTTATTATAAGTACCCAAATGATTAAGTAATAGTGGATGTTACTGTTTGTTGGGGCTCGATAACTCGTAACTAAACGATTTTTAAAACAATAATTTTGATGATATAATAAAGGTTCTAAGTCTGAGAAAGTGTGTATCAATACAAGGTATTGTGCCTTATATTGGAAAAACGGTATTATGCTGAAAAGAAGTCAAAAATTGCATAAATATATCTCATTTCAAGTCAGACCCTTTTAAGCTTCTGTACTCTGACGAAGAACTTTACATCTCCCAACATTACTCGGGTCAACAGCCAGTGCGACTGTAGTCCAGTACCAAATTGTGATCTGGTCATCCATAATCTTTTCCAACCCACTGCTATTATATCATCATAGCACATTGATGTGACTGATGATTGAGGGTAAATAACACGTGTCCCAATTATTTCGAACATATTTTGAATCGGTCTTAACAAGTACTCGGAACTCAAACAGCCAACGAGAACTACTTTTAACCAGTAATTTTATGGACCACATTACAGCCATTGAATATACTTCATTTTAGAAAGCATGTCATCAAGTCATGAACAGAAGAAAATCCGGTCATATGTTTCAGTTAAAGATCATCCGGTCATTTAATAACCTGTAGACATTCACGTGTTCCCACATGCCCTGGTACGGCCGAGAGTGGGGAGAGTCCGCTCTCCCTCTCGAAATCCTCTCACATGGCCACGCGTATATAGTCTCTGCCAGGGAAGTTCTACTCACTGCCTTCTCGTGGCGGGGGTGTTGCTTACGAAAATGAGAGGACGAAAAGTGAATGTCCGGCGCTTTAACCGGATTCCAAACCAATGGTGCACATGGGCTCCAGTATCCTGAAGGAACAAATGGCGTATGAACCAATCGTTGGTCACCGGCTACCATGGGACTGCATCTCCTCACGATGCTCCACTGCCTTGTGGATCAGACCTTCAGGTCGAAGGCTCGGGGAGTGGCCCCCTACGAAAACCACCTGCCTCGGTTTGGGCACCCAGGCAGTATCACAGCCCTCACACATATCGAATGAGATTTGTGTGGCGCATATGTATTTGGTGCCTCCTTGTACCAATATCTGTGTTAAAATAAATAAACAGACATTTACGTTACACATGCTCCTTAAATACGGTTGCAATCCAACTGGTAAACATAAGCACCTTGAGATGAAAATCACAAAGGACTTCTACTCCTTATTTACATCCACTTAATGGCTTTCTTAAGTGACACAACTGCATCTCCTAAGAAAAACTTGAAACAGAGTGTTTTGAACTCATACATAACTGTCTGTCTGGGGAACGTAACACAGACCTACTAATATTTAATGAACGACGTACTAGATAGCCTTGGTTCTGTGCAAACGTATGTAAAGATAATTGTTAAATGGAAATTCGTGATAACGAAACATTTTCAATATACGTTTCTGTTAACTAATTCAAGTTAAAGATGATCGTCTGTTACACCATAGAATATGTTGTTGTATGATTAACAAAAGAATGTTTTGGGTGCCACAACTAGACTAATTTGGAGTTCAGGTGTCGCCAAAACATATCTTGAGGTATCATCTTTAACAAATGATTTATTGTTCCGACACAGCTAAGTCCAGTTGAAGTTAATAAGCTAGGACAGCAGTTGCAAATAAAAAACGGAACCTGCAAGAAGGACGTTCTTAGTAAATAGTGTTCTAGGAACAAACCACTCAAAACCAGTCACATTATATACTAAGTACCGTATGAAAAGATAAACGAGACAGACTTTTATCTCACCAATGAGCGATAGGTGGTATCAATTTTATAGGTTATTCATTCCCTAATGAAACCAAAACTTGACTGTTAGGCTTAATTCATGCTCCTTACATAAATTATACAGGTTGAAGTAGGTTTGAACAAGTATTCCAATGGATATCGAAAGCCTTAGACTATTTATTAGTACATTGTGTGATTGTTATACATGCAAATAATTAAGGCATTAAATCTTGAGAAAGTATCTTACCTTTCCAGTTGGATCATAGGGTGCCTGATGTTCATTTTCCGGTAAAGTTGAATATTCCGAACGTGGCCATTCTTCGGGTTTATGTAAAAATGTATGTCTTAAGGCATTATCTGGGTCGTATTCAAACCCTACACCAGCAGTTGGATTCCATTTTGCATGCTCTTTACCAAAACCTTTTTTTGCGATCGCTCTTAATTTCAGGCGTTGCCCCTTGCGCATTTTAACAATTAGTATGGATTCCTGAAAATTACACAGAGAAAGTAAGTTAATAGAGTGAACTAACTAGAAATCCACGTTTCAACAGAATTACATACAGTTTACAAACTTTGGATGTAAGTAAATAAAATGGACAAATAAATCCTAGTTTAGTTCTGATAAACCAAAATCTTAAAAGATAGCACACGCCATATCAAATTACACATGACATATATCAAGAAAATATGCACTAACCTGACCGACGTATGACGAGTCATCAGCATCTCTTGATGGTACAGGTTGTACATCACGGTTACTGCTGATGAGATCTGCTCCTGTAACATGTCTTGGTGCATCCGTAGTACAACATACATCCAATGTAAGTTCAACGGAACATTGTTCACAGAATTCGCGGCAAGGACATTCTCGGAAATATGTCATTTTATCAACTACATTATCACATGTCAGTGGAATTAACCCAACACGTTGAGCAATGAATTCATCATTTAACATTGTATTATTGTCTTCAATCTGTACCCAATCTATTGCAAGAGTAGGGACTTCAGCGATACAAACACGCCGAATAGCATTAGCTACACTTAAATCAGTCTCTTCCAGTATAAACTTTATGTTTTCATTGTTAAAGCTTGTTAATGTGACGATAGGTTGATTGGCATACGGCATCCCTAACTTTTAAAAATCCAATGAAAAGTAAAAACGTAAATGAAAGTCTTCAGAAGTAATAACTTCAGTGGTTAGATTTATAATCCAAATGAACTATGAAATATACAAAACTTGAATTCCAGAGCAGCAAAAAGATAATAATGTTTGTTTATAGTAACAACTTCATGAAGTAAACTTGTTTCTAGCTAGTGCTAATACTCACAGGAATAAAAAATCTGTTTTCTGACGCTGGCATCAAATAAACTGAGAACATAAGTAAATGCCAGCCAATGTTGATTTTATTTATTTTCCTTAAACACATAAACATTGGTACAAAGAGACACCAAATAGATATACGCCACATAAATCATTCGATTTGTGTAGGGGCTGAGATACTGCTAGGGTGCCCGAACCGAAGCAGGCTTTAATTTACTAAATGCATTTAAATACCAAATATATTACGACTTCAATCCATGAGAGCATGTATGAAAGTCTGGTAAGACCATAAAGGATTCGATTGGGTTCCATCAAATTGCATCATTTGTATCTCGGTGCACAAGTCTGAATGATCAAATATTGGGCACGATGCAAAAAATCTCTGCATCCCTGTAAGTGTGGTCTGTCGTCTATGAAAGCGCAATGTATACACAAACTTTAGTTATTCCATCACAGATGTTTTTCGATAATTATTTGCATGTGAGTGGCCGTCCAAAAAAACTCGCCTTAGCTTGAGCACCCGGACAGTATTCTAGCCCATACACAAATTCATTAGTTTGTTTAAGGCATAAATGTTTTGGTGCCCCACTATACAAATTTTTATGCATTTAAATAAAGGTCGGAGACAACCGTGATAAATGGTTTAAAACATTATGATCCAATGTGGATCACAGTAACCGATATAAATCCAATTCTTATTATCTCCTAAATCTTTATTTAAGCACAATTTCATGTAATGCACCTATCGTTCTCCAAAATCGTTTGATTCCCCTTTACACAACACTTCAATATATCATATATTTTTAGTACGTACAGCAGTATCCCGATCCTTACACAAATCGAATGACGTTTAGTGCATATGTATTCGGTGCCTCCTTGTACCAATATCTGTGTTCAAATAAATAAATGGACAGCATGGCTTTGGAAACGAATGAGGTTTAACAGCCAGAATGGAGATCCTATGAGACCCGTGAATGTTTGCTTTAATTCCCTTAATTAACTCATATCTTTCGCCTTACTTTAGATAGAAATTGAGACATGTGGCAGGTTGGTGAAACGTCGAAATTTCGAATAAAATAACGGTATCCAAACGACAATTAACATAATTGCCATTGTGATCATTTATATTAAACTATCTATAGGTTTGGGAAATTGTTGAGCTTCGAAGTCATACACCAAAGAATGATTTTAGTCATAAAACCTTTGAAATCCATGAGGCATTGGATAACTGCTTCCTTTTAGCATAGGCTCACCTGAAGGTGTGCATTTATGCATTAGGTCACGAATCTATAGTGAATCACTTAACTCCAAAATTTTCTAATGTTGCAGAGTAAATTATAATAACATCCCCATAAACAAAAGCAACATCCGCTTAGAAATAGAATCATCGAATTTCCATGTGTCAGAAACTGACCTTCAAAAAAGTTTAAGTAGAGCATACATAAAAATCCAACTTCAATTTTCAATGTCAGTTTCAGTCGGTTGGCAATTTGTTCATTGAGATCTGCTTCTAGACAGCCAGAGTGAATTTCAACTTCCGAAGAGGTGTGAGTTTCAGAAACTGAAGAATGAAAAAATTTGCATAGCATTAGATCTGATATCCTTGTGATTGGCCTGTATAAGCATAATGATTACTTTATATTTGCTTCTAGTTTTTCAGAAGGGATCCAGGTCTTCAAAAGTTTCCAGTGGGCAGTATTCTAGCCACTCAGAAAAGTAACAACCTCGAGGAATAAATAAACAAATAATTTAGTAGATAGAGTCTATGTGGAGACTGATGCGTAAAAATAAAACAGGAAGAGATTATAATAAACGACATATATATATAACATAATTACACATAACAGTGGACAAGTGTGCATTAGACACTGCTGGTTCAACCAGGAGATGGTAATTAACAAATGGCCACGTGATTGTCAAGTCACCTCTTTAATTTCGGTCTATGGAAAGCCTGTTTCTTAGCTTCGTAACACGCTTTACTACCCATCTCTATACTTATTTTCAGACTTTTTGAAAAGGCCTGACGTGAGACTTAGTAGAGAGAAAGTAAGTTCTACAGGAAGAAGAAAGCGCTAAAACAATAGGGTATATCATTGGAGCACTAGACATTCGTGGAACAGAATTCGTCATTTATGGTTATGTGTCAAGGTCAGACACCGGACGAAACACAGCGGTCTTCCATCAGGCAACATCATTTTACCAAGGGAGTGACATGTCTTGGTAATGTTTTATGAGCTGATAAAACTGATATTTCTGCGAAAGTCGATTCAAGGAATAAAACTGATGTAATTGCTTAATTTAAGTGGTTGGGAGTTAGCTGAGCACCTCCTGTTTACAATAGAACACCATAGCTAGGTGTTTGTTTACTTCTTTGTTCTGTACAAACAAGATATTTTCCATCGTCCTTTGTTAGATATCACAAAATTTGTGTGCTTTAAAATAAAAACCTCCTCTTCCGACTATCCCATGATTATGTAATAAAAATCTGATAGGATTTTTCTCTTTTGAGTTATCAGCTATTTCAGTCTGGCTTTGGTGGAGCAGTAGTGTCGATACTGATCTAGATCAATGATTTTTGAACCAAAGAACTCATCGAGCTTTTTTTGAAACTATCGACATCATAGGAAATGAGTTTCCTAACATGGTCTTTTGAACAGTAAAAAATTCTTCTCGCGTTCTTATACGAGCTTCATTGTGTTCTGTTTTGGTTGAGTGTTCTATTCAGTTTAAATTATTCCAGGAACGTATCAGTGTTTTATTCGAGTGAAAACGGTTATGAGCAAAACAACCTATCATTATCACATTCCTCCCTATCATACCAGAATTAACTTCTATGAAAACGTTAGTTAGAACAGGTTATCAAAACAAAAATTCATACGTCTTGCGAATAGAACGCTATATTCGTTTCCTAAGCTATTCTGGTAACCCACAACTAGAACTACACAGTGACCTGAACATCAGACAGAAGTCGCAGAGTATGAGAGAAATACTTTACTACAAGGTTCGTTTTTGTATAGGAAACATGGGTATTTGTAGATGTTAGTGTTTGTTAAATCGACATCATATTTCGGCCAATTCGTTAATGACATGTTATGCTACCGATCAATAGTAGCACGCCACGTTGGAATTCTAGAGTGCTCCATCGTGCTGTGATTGGCTAGGACTCTTCGGCTCCTTTTGGGCCTCTGGAGGCTCCGTTGAAGTTCTCCGAAAGCCGACTCAACACCTCCCCCGAATAAGATTTCTTTCTAGGATCTACTTGTAGTTCGACAACTGGGTTGTGGTGGCGTCCCATTATTATTGACGTCTTCCTTGTCCGAGGCTACTTTCCAGTGTTCTTGGGCTTGTGTGGCATAAGTGTATCTAAGATTAACTCTAACGAAAAATTCGGCCGGCTTTTTCAAGTCTGCGTCGTTCTTCTGTCCCTGTGGATTTGATTTGTGTGTCGTATACACGTTCCAAAAGTTCCTCGAACTCTGTACAGAACTCTTACCAACTTTTGTACAACTTATCCCGGCTCCATCGGTTCTTCCCGATGTAGGATTTAATGAAATCTTTGTCGCCAACATTAAAGTTCCAGATACATGGATTGTGACTGAGATCATCCACTAATTTGGATGACAACATGGCTCTGAAGACGGTTCGAATACGCCTTTTGAACATGACTTCCGCAAGAGACTGCATCTGAATTCGGGTTTGGGGGGGGTCTGTATGATGTTAAAAAATTTTTGATTACATGCCCAGTCGTCCTTTCCCCCCCTTTCAGTAATGCTCGTTTAAACGCGTTCTGATTGTCCGTTTGATTTCGGACGACAGGGTGGAGAACGGAGGTGAGTTATTCCGTTTGCTCTACAGAAATGCTTAAACGATTCTGTGGCGAGTCGCGAGCCGTCATCCGTTACTAAGGTCTTTGGTACTCCGAAACAGCCAAACAAGGTAGAGAACTTGTGGATTGTTTCTGATGTTGTACAGTTCAGCATGGTATATACTTCCGGCCATTCAGTAAATGCATCTACAATAATTAGAAACATTTTTCCTTGGATTGAACCAGCGTGAAGTCCTACACAGGGTCCTGCAGGCGTAAGCCAATACTGACGTTTGCATTTCAAAGGATTTTTAGCGGCTTGAATGCATGATAGAAAGTTAAGGCATTTATTCTCGATATCTTTGTCCATTGACGACCAATAAGCATAACTGCGTGCCAACGATTTTGTAGGGCCAGCGAAATGTCACCAAGCCCTAGTCAAATCATCCGGCAGTTGGGTCATTGAATATCGAGCAAATCATCGATTCTCTCAAGGTCAAGGATAACCAACGCGCATCGGTTAATCGTATACAGTGGACTGGCCTATGCGACAGTGGTCTTACTTTCGATTGTATCTACTTTAACTAATATATTTCTGTAACAACGCCCTCTGTGTTGTACAGTCTTCAAAGCATCTATGGTACCTTGATACGTCGATGGGGTAGTCCACGTAAGGTGCTGACCATAAGGTGTGACTTCGACATCAGCTAGTTTGTCACATCATTCACGTCTAACTCGAGTAGGCCTCCAATCATTTCGACATGGATCATCTACGTCGGTGATTTTCGATTTCATTTTATTGATTCCAGGATGGCCATTGTGAAACTGCTTGAGAACCTTGTGACGTAATAACTTCGGAATAACAATTCAATCACCGAACATAATACACGAGTCAACAACCATCAGTGAGTCCCGTCGACAAAAATATTGTAAAAGTTCTCCGTCGAGGCGATTGTTTGGCCATGTTGTCGAGAGATAGAATTTAACTGTGCTCAATGTCTTATCACTTTCAGTGATAATTTCAAAGGTTACTGGGAGTCCATTGATTGCATCATCCGATACGCGACGAACTTCTTCCTCAGCTTTTATATTTGCTACAAGAGTCTCCTCTGGGGTTTTTAATTGGGAGCCTATTAATCTTGACAATGCGTCAGCTTGCCCGAAGGCCGTAATAGACTGATACTTGATCTTGGAGTCGTAACCCAGAAGTGTGGTTGCCCATCGGTAGATCCGGTTAGCTATATGAACAGGGATTCCTTTCTTTGACCCAAAAATGGCTAGTAATGGTTTATGGTCAGTTAATAGTGTGAACTGACGTTCATATATCGTCTTGTGAAATTTCTTCACAGCAAAGATGACCGACAATGCTTCCTTCTCGATCTGACTGTAGTTACATTCTTCTGACGTTAACGATCTAGCTGCATGTAATATCGCCTTCTCAGATCCATCTGACATGATGTGAGAAATAGTTGCTCCAATGCCATAGTTTGAAGCGTCTGATGCTACTACAATGGGTAAAGATGGATCGTAATGGGTGAGCAGCAGATCCGAGACTAGTACTTTCTTGATTTCATCGAAAGCACCCTGGCAAGTTGCAGACGAATTCCATTTTACATTCTTCGACAGAAGGTTATTCAAGGGGCACGTAATTTATGAAGGTTTGAGATAGAAGCTCCGTAATTACTAACTAGTCCCAAAAAAAGATGGTAGTGTGGGGACGTCCGTCGGTCTTGGCATAGTTTTCACTGCTTGGGTATTCTCCGGATCTAGTCTTCTACCATCTTTGTCGATTATAAACCCAAGGTAGCGTACTTTTCGCGTACAGAAGTCACATTTCTCTGGACGAAGTCGAGGTCCATATTCGGCTATTCGCGTCAGCACCTGGTCGAGCTTCTTTTCTAAGTCAATTCTGTCCACTCCCATAATTATTATATCACCTAGATAAGCTGCAGCACCTGGAACATCCTGTAGCATAGTATCCATCATTTGCTGAAATATGGATAGAGCTGTCTTGACTCCGAAGGGTAGTCGATTATGTCGGAATAGACCTTTGTGTGTGTTTATGGTGAGCAGGATTTTAGACTCGTCAGCAACAGGGATTTGTAAATAAGCTTCGGATAAGTCTAACTTTGCAAAAATCTTACCTCCGTTCAGTTTAGCAAAAAGATCTTCAGGTAAGGGTAGTGGATACTGATGAGTTTCTAACGCTTCATTTAACCCGGTTGAGTAATCGGCACATAACCTAACTCTACCATTAGTCTTCTTTACTACCACTATCGGTGCGGCCCATTCTGAGAAATTCACCGGTTCAATGACACCTAGTTTCTGAAGTCGTTCTAGCTCTTGTTCAAACACTGGGAGAACAGCATATGATACGGGTCTTCTAGGTCTAAAGATGGGAGTAGCTGCAGGTTTTAGGGTTAACGATGCTTTGGCCTTCGTACATTCCCCCAATCCTTCTTTAAACACTTGACTATATCTTTCTAATACAACCTCCTTCAGATTTTTTTCCGATGGTTTATTGGTTCTTACTGCAATGCATATGTGGTTAATGGGGTGATTTGCTAATTGCAGTGTTTCTATTAAGTCTAGACCCAGTAAATCTAGTCCTGGGTTTTCTGTGAGACATAAAGTTGCACTCGTCTTCGTGTTTCCTTTCGAAACTGTACAACA